TTGATTCATCATCCAAAGTGTAATTAAATACTTCACCGTGCTCAAAGGGATATTCAATGTCTGCTTTTTTTACCCATCTACCAATAGCTGCCCTTCTTTGCGAGGCATTGGAAAACCTCCCTGGTCTTTGTGGTTCAATCTGTGTTTGAAATTCACTGCTCGACTGTATGCGTGAGGTACAGAGATGAGGTAGTCATCCAAAAATCAGGTTAAACACTATTATCGCACACAGAGTCCATGCAACTTATTATGTGACTTGTTAAGCACATTTTTACTCCTGAACTTATTTAAGATTGCCATAAAAAAGGGGTTGAATACTTATTGACTCAAGACATTTTAGCTTTTCATTTTTAATTAATTTGTAAAAATTTCAAAAATACGAATTCCACTTTGACATTATGGGGTATTGTGTGTAGGCCAGGGACAAAATAATCTCAGTTTAATACTTTCAGAAGGCACTGTACTATGTGAAAATATGAAAGCATTCGATGCCAGTAACCTTATATTTATTGTTGTGAAGTAAACCTAAGCAACATTATTCTCTACTCTATCATCTTTAAGCAACCATGGCAACCCTCCTTGTTGAACTTAATCAGCCTGAGATGAGCAGCTAATGGCACAAAATAACACTAACAAATGTTTAACAATGTTTTCCGTAAAAACAACAACAAACGCTTACCCGTGTGTAGCTTTGAGCAAAAGTCTGAGGATGAAACTGGCTGCATCAGCTGTGGATGAAGTGTAGAGCCTCTCTCTCTCCCTCTCTCCCGCTCTCCTTTTCTCCCAGTGTCACTACCCTGTTCTTCCTAGTGACAGCACAGGAGAGGCAACCTATTAAGTGGAAACTCTCACCTGCACACCCACTCAATTACTAGTCACAACTATCAGAGAGGAGGAGACTACAGGCAGAGAGCTGGGTGGGTGGGTCTAAACTACCATACAAGGGCCCAGAGACCAAATTAGGGTAAACTTCCAGCCCGCTAACTCAATACACACCTATAATCTCGGGAACCAGGACCAAATCTCGAGTGCGCTGGCCAGTTGACAGATGGTCATGTAATCAGACACATTTATGAAAAATGTCAAATACATTAAATGGAGCAAAGTGATACAATAGTTATATGATATCATTAACATCTGCCACCCAAAATAATCTTATAAAAATCATACATCTCCTCCTCTCTTTATTTACTTATCACCTCATTTTCCTTTTCTTTTCCAAACAAAATGTTCCCACAATCTTCTACAACTTAACAGAAACCTCCAATTACATAACACAGTGTTAACTTCAATCTCGGTGTTCCAAGGCAAATCACCAGCTCATATTACAGTACCAACCGAAGGAGTGTTAAGGCCTTTCAAAAGCCCTTCAAAGCACTCATCTACTGTATAAAACTACATATTAAAGATGTTTGTCAGAAAATAAAAGCACTTACAGGATTGTTGTGAAGTCCTTGCTGGCTCATGGGTTTCTTGTGAGATAATTCCCATACTGGTGAGGTGATTTTGGGGAACCTTCTGGTCTCTGTTCAACACAATGTGAAATCCCCCAACCCCCCTGTCAGGAATAAACCCTCTTGACAACAATTACCTCTTTGTGGCATTGTGGCTCTTGGAATGTGGAATACCTAACCTGGGCACCACACAAAGGCACCTGGGCCACTCAGGTGACGAAAAATCCCTCCTAATAAACCTGAACATTTTATGTGAAGAACCCGTGAAAGAAAAGACACATATAGGCTGGTATAGCTTTTAGTTCCCTCATGGAATTGTACACACTCCAATCACGTACAATTCTCTGCACAAATCCATTCCATGTTAGTTTTCAAACTTATTGTGTAAATGAAAAAGGTTAAGAAAACGTTTTTGTGTGTGTGTGTGGAAATCCCCACACCAACCTATTGAAATCACAAGGATATGTGATATAAACATGCTTTACATTTGATTCCAACACACCATATGTGTTGTTTCCTTTACATTTGTTATGTTTGTTATATATGTTTAATTTACATTTGTTATATGTTTGTTTTTTGTTTCCTTTATATTTTGTCTCAGCTGGCATTTTCATCTGTTATCACCAAGTATTAACACGCAAAATATTGCCTCGGTGTAAAAGACAACAATAATAACAGCGTCACCAATAAGCCAATAGTCAAATGAGGTAGGCATACACTGTGCATTACTGAGCTGTGATGATAACTCTCTTATACAGATTACGTTTACTTCACCCTGCTTGTCTGTGTTTCATAATAGTGAGAGGAGTCAACTCTATCAGGCAATAGGGTTTCCAGATTTAAAATGTTGCACCACCGACCGAACACTGTACAAACTCTTTAAAAACCAGACAGTCTGGTGGAAAATGTATCATCTGGCAACTCTACAAGGGCAAGAGAAGCCTCACATTTTCACTTGAAACAGGGAAAAGTAAGTCATAGTTACTGTAATAATAATGGATAATGATGCTATACCATTAAAGAGATTATTCACAAGTGAATAGAGTAAATACTTTATTGTCCATTTTATGAGAACAACAAGCACAATCCTTCATTGTGCTTCAGCACATCCTCCCATTTGTCCAGCTATTGAAAGAAAAGGACATGCCTTGGAAAATAGAGGTTGAGTGTTTTTGCTTGCTGTGCGTAAGCAATTATACCTTAGTGGGGGATGAGGGTGTGAGGCCACTTGTAAATAAATCTCTTGTTGCAAGTAATGAAAGCATGAGTGACTTATTTCAATGGGGATTTATTGTAAATACTGTACAGGTAATGAATGTGTATGAAACAGGCTAAACCAGTCACCACTCGGAAAGCAGTGGTATCCGTCATTAAACAATATTTCTCCACAACAACAACCCACCACCTCTCCTCAGCAACAGGCAGGTCAATAATTTGGCTACACCATTAGTAACGATAATGACCTGTGACCTGTCTCTTTTTCTTGAGTTATGTTAGCCAGGCGAGACCTGTTCAATGCAAAACCTGTTTGAGCTATTCAAGGGAGACAAGATTACATGATTGTGTTATACTGGGTATCCTAGTTGTCATTGACAATGGAAGCAAAGTGAAAAAATAAAGTATGTTGGTCATTGTCAATATGTGGTAGGACAAAATATGCATATTTTCTAATGAAGATGGGTGAAATTAGTATACAGTATATTTTATGATCTAATGTTTTTTCTAATGTTACACAGCCTTTCAAATCAGGAGTGTATACAGTATCCGGTTTACTGTACTGTATTGTAAATCTGTGTAAGTGGTGTTGTACATACAGAGAAAGTGTAAAAACATACAAAAGATCACACGTAGATAGCAGGGTTGAAGTACATTACATCATAATTCCTATCACTTTAATTTCTCCTTGATGGATAGAAAATGTGACCATCAAATTGAGATTCAAGCATATTGTTTTGTAATATTTTGTATTATGATTGGGTATATTCGCTCATGTAAAAGTGCCACAATAGGCCATATACTATTCAGATGCAAACAAATTAGGATGGAAAATAGATATATCCTGCACAAGGTATGCAAAATGGCAAGATGTTGAATCAGAGAACACAACTCGTTTTAAATGGCCATTCAGAGCCATGACAATGCAAAATATAATGTCTTGTGTAAACAAATACCATCAATGCAAAGTTATATGCAAACAAATGGCTTGGTTTCAGAGTAACAGGATATCTGTGCTTAAAGCAAACACATGCCATTGACATTTGGGTCATTATTTTGCACGGTGTCCATATTAGGACAACCTAAGCATGTCAGTAGTTTGTAAAATGATTGGAATTGACAGTGGACAGCATTAAACTGTATCAATGACACCACCCACTTACTGTGTTTAGATTAGCAGGCTCAGGAGGCAAAATGAAGCTGCTGTCTGGAAGGACATGGCCCGGGACGCAGCATGACTAAGAAGATTAAAGAAGATTTACTCATCAGCAACACTACTCTCACGGCACTGGACATAGCAACAGGTCAGTGGGTACTATATGGTGTTCTAGCATTCACCATGGAGTGTGACGGCATTGACCTGGAAAGAGAAGAGCTATTTTCATTCTGACTTACATTCTCCTCACCTTTATTCCTACCATCTGGCTGTTGGAAAAGGTCTGTATTTAGCCTTTTATATTTCTGTTATATAGGGCGTTGCTAGTGATATTACATGTTAGTGCTATTACATGTTTGTTTGTAATGGTTTGTTGAAGCTCTTGGTGAAGGACTCATTCGAATGATAGAATTGTGGATGCAGTGTTGATATCATGTAGCCTGGTCCCAGATCTGTTTGAGGTGTCTTGTCAACTTATATAGTCATTATACCAAAAAATGACAGTAGGACAGCACAAACAGTTCAGGGATCAGACTTGATTTTATATGTCATGGAATTAAGAACACACCTTACACATGTCACCAACAACTTAATAGAGAACTTCTATTATTAAATAGTACTGCTGTATTAAAAGCCTCAGAGCCTCACATTCTAATTGCTGGGTTGAAATCTCAAACATGGACCTTCAAATAATCAAACTGGTGTCACTGGGGACAACACTGTCTACTCTATAGCATAAACCAGTCAGTAGATTAACATTTACTTATGGAACACACAATAGAGATTGAGATACAACAAAATGTTTGAGTTACACAGTTACATTATTTTCTATGGGCACACCTCAACAACAGCTTTCTTTTCTCAGCTAGGATAGGACAATGTGAGGTGATACTACAACAGCATGGTGACGTACATCCTGTGGTGTGCGTTTGCATGGACATTCAAGGGTCTGTTATGTACCTGCAGGTTCTTCTGGGTGAGTGTGTATCCTATAGCCTGGTCGCAGATCTGTTTGTGCTGTTTTTCCAACTCTTTGCCAAACATGACAAAGACCATATGAGTTCGCTATGCAGCACAAACTGATCTAGAACCATGGGCTATGTGTCCTATCTGACAATTATAGCTTTCACAACCCTCTTGCTCTGGAAATATTGTATGACTGTCATTGGTGTTTAATGCAGGTGAGCCCATACTACTCAATCAAATACATGCCCAATGAACCTCACAGAACAGGGAAGGATCACGACCATCAAGTGAAACAAAAAACAGGTAATGATGAGGGTTGTCCTCAGTAAATAATGAAAACAGAACAAAATGTAGACTACTGTGATACAGACTGGCATAGGATTGGTGTTCTAAAGGACTCTACTCTAATTATCTCATCTATGTATGCTATAGAATATAATATAATAAAATGCTCTAATTCTGTTCTCTGTATGTGTTGGATGATTGATTTTCAGGCTCTGCAAGTCAGGAAATACCAGGAAGTCATGGTAGCAGTACCATGCAAAGGAGACTGTCCAAAGCTGAGAGAGAGATCCAGGCCCTCAAGACCCAGATCACCTTTGAGAGGGCAACATGGGAGAGGAAGTTTGTGGAACTGCAGAAAAAACAACAGGACCTACGTTATCAGGTGTGTGTGTGTGTGTGCATGTATGTGTGCGCGCGTGTATGAATATGTGTGTTTCATAATTTAGTCATAATAATAATTCAATGACAACTTTGTTTTATTTTGATCAGCTGATCTCTGCGACTGTAGCCAGGCCTGGAAGCTTACTTCAGGTGGGCAGCTTTGAGGACCTTGGCGAGTCAGAGGTGGAGAACAGGCATCCTTACGATGAAAAGGACCAGGACAGCTCAAGTAAATCACATAATCAACAGTGCTTGATTTGCTGTAATATGGGATTTAAAAGGACAATGCACTCCAACATAAAAGTTTGTCAGATGTTTCCATACCTCAAAAGTAGACTAGTGTTGAGATAGGTCCACGTCACAAGCCATTTGTTGCGTAGATCAAGCTATATGCTTAAATCCCAAATGAATGGAAAAGATAAGCGTTTTCCTACTTCCAGATTTTATTCAGTGCTGATCTTCTCCATTCATTTGGGGTTAAGGTATATAGCTAGATATACACAACCAAAGTCTTGGAGCATGTATTCATCTTACCATTGGACTAGTTTTGAGGTCTGAAAACATTGGACAAATGTTTATTCTGAAGTGTAATCTCCCTTTAATATCTATGTTTTCAATAGGAAAGAATAATTTTATCCATGACTTAAAATAACAGGCAGCTTGAGCCATTCCAACCGAAGCAGAGGGTCTGAGAGGACGTCATCAACAGGTGACACATGCCAAAGCAGCTTGTCTGGCAGCCAAGTCTCATTGAACTCAGCATTTGGCTCCAGACCCATTTCTGCTCTGTCTACAGCCACCAGGTAGAGCCATTTCTCTTCACCTGCTCCTAGCTGTGTCAAAAGGCCATTAAACTTAAAAATCTATGTTTGGCACTTGTTTTCAGACCTCAAAATTGGTCCATGGAAAGCACCATGTAATTTTAATATTTACAGTGCTTATCTTTTCCATTAATTTAGAGTTGAGGCATATAGCTGGATCTACACAAACAATGACTACTTTTGAGGTCTGAAATGCTGTGTCTAAACAGGCATCCCAATTCTGATATTTTTTCCACTAATTGGTATTTTGACCAAAGACATGAGATCTTTTTCAGAGCTGATCTGATTGGTCAAAAGACCAATTAGTGAAACAAAGATCAGAATTGGGCTGCCTGTGTAAACATAGTCAAACAGACCTGGGTTAAAATACATGTGCAGTTAAGTATTTGTAATTTAAATATTTATTTTCTCTGTATTTGAGTATTTTAAAATAATGTGGCAAAAATCAACCACTTCTATTTGAAGTATTTGAAAGTATTTTTTAATCCTAGAAATAGCCTACTATTTGAAACAATTTTCAAATATTTGTTTCTAAATAGATTATTTCAAACACCCCTAGAACCAAACAGACCTGGGTTCAAATGCGTATTTAAAGTATTTGTATTTGAAAGTACACTGTCTGTGTATTTGAGTATTTTCAAATGCATTCCAATATCCAAATAAAAAAATATCAACATCCTTACTTCAAAATGTCTTTGAAAGTAATTGAGGAAAACCCTAAATAGTATTTTGAACCCAGGTCTGGTCTGAAAAACTTTGATTTTAGAGGGTAATGTCCCTTTAAATCCTATTCATTTTAAGTCATCTAAAAAGAGCAAACCTTCCGTCCCCCCAGTGGGAACTCCTGGAGGAGCTACACCGGTCCACACCGGGTCTTTGTACCTCACTCCCCCCTGGACCTGCAGACGGGACACCGGGTTCGAGTCCTATTGCCCTCGGGTCGGATCAGCACAGGCACGGTTCGTTACCTGGGCCATCTGGAGGGGGAGCCAGACTTCCATATGGGAGTGGAGCTGGAATCACCTGAACACGGGCAGCAAGATGGCACACAAAGTGGACAGTGCTACTTTGAATGGTAAGTGCTCTCTTCATTTACCAATAACTTGTAGTCTTGAATCAGTTATTCTGTAAATAAGTTTCATCCCTGAATTGTAACATTGGTAGAGTTGCTAGATATCTGCTGTGGAGTATAAAGATGTATCTATATTTTGGAGCTAACAGGAAAAGGTTCAACAGTGCTTTTAGTTATAACTGAAAAGGGTTTGTTTACTTTAAATAAGTTATCCACTGAATCCTGTCGTTATAAGGGTGTTGTCAGTCAATCAACAAAGGGTTGTTTACCGTAGTAGTGCCTCCAGGCCCCTCACACACACAAGTAACAATTATGAATTTGAAACAATTGTTTATTTTTCTAAATGACATTGTGGACAAGGATGGAAAGTTGTTTGATTTTGGAACAGTGTGTAGAACCTATGGGGATATTTGTACAAATCATATATGTATGCTCAATTGCTGTCTGCTACAATGAGGGAAAAAAGTATTTGATCCCCTGCTGATTTTGTACGTTTGCCCACTGACAAAGAAATGATCAGTCTATAATTTTAATGGTAGGATTATTTGAACAGTGAGAGACAGAATAACAACAAAAAAATCCAGAAAAACACATGTAAAAAATGTTAGAAATTGATTTGCATTTTAATGAGGGAAATAAGTATTTGACCCCCTCTCAATCAGAAAGATTTCTGGCTCCCAGATGTCTTTTATACAGGTAACGAGCTGAGATTAGGAGCACACTCTTAAAGGGAGTGCTCCTAATCTCAGCTTGTTACCTGTATAAAAGACACCTGTTCACAGAAGCAATCAATCAATCAGATTCCAAACTCTCCACCATGGCCAAGACCAAAGAGCTCTCCAAGGATGTCAGGGACAAGATTGTAGACCTACACAAGGCTGGAATGGGCTACAAGACCATCGCCAAGCAGCTTGGTGAGAAGGTGACAACAGTTGGTGCGATTATTCGCAAATGGAAGAAACACAAAATAACTGTCAATCTCCCTCGGCCTGGGGCTCCATGCAAGATCTCACCTCGTGGAGTTGCAATGATCATGAGAACGGTGAGGAATCAGCCCAGAACTACACGGGATGATCTTGTCAATGATCTCAAGGCAGCTGGGACCATAGTCACCAAGAAAACAATTGGTAACACACTACACCGTGATGGACTGAAATCCTGCAGCACCCGCAAGGTCCCCCTGCTCAAGAAAGCACATATACATGCCCGTCTGAAGTTTGCCAATGAACATCTGAATGATTCAGAGGAGAACTGGGTGAAAGTGTTGTGGTCAAATGAGACCAAAATCGAGCTCTTTGGCATCAACTCAACTCGCCGTGTTTGGAGGAGGGGGAATGCTGCCTATGACCCCAAGAACACCATCCCCACCGTCAAACATGGAGGTGGAAACATTATGCTTTGGGGGTGTTTTTCTGCTAAGGGGACAGGACAACTTCACCGCATCAAAAGGACGATGGACGGGGCCATGTACTGTCAAATCTTGGGTGAGAACCTCCTTCCCTCAGCCAGGGCATTGAAAATGGGTCGAGGATGGGTATTCCAGCATGACAATGTCCCAAAACACACGGCCAAGGCAACAAAGGAGTGGCTCAAGAAGAAGCACATTAAGGTCCTGGAGTGGCCTAGCCAGTCTCCAGACCTTAATCCCATAGAAAATCTGTGGAGGGAGCTGAAGGTTTGAGTTGCCAAACGTCAGCCTCAAAACCTTAATGACTTGGAGAAGATCTGCAAAGAGGAGTGGGACAAAATCCCTCCTGGGATGTGTGCAAACCTGGTGGCCAATTACAAGAAACGTCTGACCTCTGTGATTGCCAACAAGGGTTTTGCCACCAAGTACTAAGTCATGTTTTGCAGAGGGGTCAAATACTTATTTCCCTCATTAAAATGCAAATCAATTTATAACATTTTTTACATGCGTTTTTCTGGATTTTTTTGTTGATATTCTGTCTCTCACTGTTCAAATAAACCTACCATTAAAATTATAGACTGATCATTTCTTTGTCAGTGGGCAAATTTACAATATCAGCAGGGGATCAACTAGTTTTTTCCCTCACTGTATATCCCCCACATGGAAAGCTAAGATTAAGAAAGTAAAACATAATTTAACTGTATGCCATCCTACTATAAAAAAACACAAATGGATACAAAAAGCTAAAATCAACTCTGAAATATACCAATTAACTTTGAATTTCCACCACCTATCTGCAATTCCTTACAAATTTCAAACGTATTGGGAAGATGTCTTTGACAACCCAATACCATGCAAGCAGGTCTTCAATTTCACATACAAAACATCAATAGATACTCAAGAGCCTTTTAGTTAGGGATTCTCTGGTATTTTTGTATACTTGTTAGCCAGTAGTTCTGAAGGTAGCGCCCACAAGCAAAAAGTGCATTTATGTGCACCATGTCCTTGCTCTCTCTCTCGCTCTGCTGTGTGTGATTCTTGCTAGCTGTTAACAAAGAAAATGCTTTCCATTTGGGGTATTGAGCAAGACTCTAATGAAGATTCTGTAATGAAGAGGAGGAGGACATAATGCACCTGTTTTGGTAACTGTCTGACAGTGAGCTCATTTTAGCTACAGGTTCAAGGCTGGCTTTTCCATCACTCCATCAAACTATGTATTAATCCCCAACTCATCATCTTGGGCAACCTCAATGTCCATTTGCCCTCAATTAAGAACAAAATACTTCTGCTAGGGAAAATATTCATATTCACAAAGTTCTACATCTCTAACACCCAACCTGTTTAAACAATTCATTAGCAATGACCAAAGGACAGAGCATTCCAGGTGCAAAGCTCAAGAATCTCAAATATAAAAAATATTTTGATTTGTTTAACACTTTTTGGTTACTACATTATTCCATATGTGTTGTTTCATAGTTTGATGTCTTCACTATTATTATACATTGTAGAAAATAGTAAAAATAAAGAAAACCCCTGGAATGAGTAGGTGTGTCCAAACTTTTGACTGGTACTGTATATTATTTGGGTAGCCAGGCAATATTTACTTGAGTAAGTCCACAACATTGTTATTGAACAATATAAATGAAAATTAACATATGTTACTATAAGGGCAAAATGATCCATATGCCATGGAGTGTAAGAAAACAACGTTTTTCCTTATTTATTTTTGTATTAGGCTACTAAACCATGGCATTGCTGATAACTGTCTTGTCCAAATGTGTTGTATCGTGTGTGTTTGTCGGTTTGAGTATCGTCATGTACTGCACATAGTCCTCCGTTTTTATGGTTGTCTTGTCACTGTCATTACCGACTTGTTTGTATTTTGTTTAAGAAAAAAGAATAATAACAAATATGGTTCCGTGTTCAAGACACACTTCAACATGTGCTGCTGACATTTTCATTGTTTGACTGAACATGCAAATATCAACCTGAAAGCAAACGTGAGTAGCTTGATTTGTTGTATGAGGGCCAGAGTGTTTGTCAAAAGAGGAGAACAAAATGCTAAGAATTGCTATATACAGTAGTATATACTGTATACAGTGGTATATGTGGGATGAGCACTAACACTGTTTTCTTTGTTTCTGTGTTCAGAAATAAAATAACACTCTTGTAGCATCAAATAGTAATGGCTTATTATGAATTTCGATAAAAGTACACTATATATACAAATGTATGTGGACAGCCCTTCAAATTAGTAGATTCAGCTATTTCAGCCACACCCGTTGCTGAGAGTTGTATAAAATCGAGCACACAGCCATACAATCTCCATAGACAAACATTGGCAGTAGAATGGCCTTACTGAAGAGCTCAGTGACTTTCAACGTGGCACCGTCATAGGATGCCACCTTTGCAACAAGTCAGTTCGTCAAATTTCTGCCCTGCTAGAGCTGCCACGGTCAACTGTAAGTGCTGTTATTGTGAAGTGGAAACGTCTATGAACAACAGCGGCTCAGCCGCCAAGTGGTAGGCCACACAAGCTCACAGAACAGGACCGGCGAGTGCTGAAGTGCGTAAAAATTGTCTGTCCTCGGTTGCAACACTCACGACCAAATTCCAAACTGCCTCTGGAAGCAACATCAGCACAAGAACTGTTCGTCTGGAGCTTCATGAAATTGGTTTCCATGGCCGAGCAGCCGCACATGCCTAAGATCACCATGCGCAATGCCAAGTGTAGGCTGGAGTGGTGTAAAACTCGCTGCCATTGGACTCTGGAGCAGTGGAAATGCGTTCTCTGGAGTGATGAATCACGCCGGGTTTGGCGGATGCCAGGAGAACGCTACCTGCCCCAGTGCATAGTGCCAACTGTAAAGTTTGGTGGAGGAGGAATAATGGTCTGTGGCTGTTTTTCATGGATCGGGCTAGGCCCCTTAGTTCCAGTGAAGGGAAAACGTAATGCTACAGCATACAATGACATTCTAGACGATTCTGGACTTTGTGGCAACAGTTTGGGGAAGGACCTTTCCTGTTTCAGCATGACAATGCCCCCGTGCACAAAGCGAGGTCCATACAGAAATGGTTTGTTGAGATCAATGTGGAAGAACTTGACTGGCCTGCACAGAGCCCTGACCTCAACCCCATTGAACACCTTTGGGATGAATTGGAACGGTGACTACGAGCCAGGCCTAATCGCCCAACATCAGTGCCCAACCTGAATGGAAGCAAGTCCCCACAGCAATGTTCCAACATCTAGTGAAAAGCCTTCCCATAAGAGTGGAAGCTGTTATAGCAGCAAAGAGGGTACCAACTCCATATTAATGCCCATGATTTTGGAATAAGATGTTTAACGAGCAGGTGCCCACATACTTTTGGTCATGTAGTGTATGTATTTTCTTTATCGGGAAAGATTATATTTAGTAGGGATATTTTTATAACAGTGTGTTGTATTACTCAATGGTCTGCCTAGTTTTTACTCTAAGCTATTGCAATTTAACTGCCATGTGGTGACTGTCTGTTTCCCTTCCCTTGCAGCAAGCCTGGCCATGGTGCCTTTGTCCCATTCACCAAGCTGCTGATGGCCTGGGAGTGATGACATCACAGTCTCTCTGGTGGAGGGTCACATTTGGATGGATCATATGGACTTTGTGGCATCAATCACGAATGGTCTCTGAAAGCAAACTTACATGCACAAGTTTACTGTGAATGTGGTACCCCTGATGTAGCTACTGTACAACCAACATGCTTCAAAGATCATAGAACTGTCAACTATTGACCCTGTATTAAAGACCAAAATTGGCTAAAGAAAAAGGGGAGAACAAAATGCTAAGAAATGCTATATACAGTAGTATATACTGTACATGTACAGTGGTATATGTGGGATGAGCACTAACACTGTTTTCTTTGTGTTCAGAAATAAAATAGCACTCTAGTAGCATCAAATAATAATGGCTTGTTATGCATTTCGATAAAAGTACACTATACAGTATATACAAATGTATGTGGTCAGCCCTTCAAATTAGTGGATTCGGCTTTTTCTGCCACAACCTTTGCTGACGGGTATAAAATCAAGCACACAGCCATGCAATTTATAACAGTATTACCCAATGGTCTGCCTAGCTTTCACTCTAAGGTATTGAAATCTAACTGCCATGTGGTGACTGTCTGTTTCCCTTCCCTTGCAGTAAAGCTGGCCATGGTGCCTTTGTCCCATTCACCATTCATTAGGGCATCTCAGTGATGATATTGTTCATGATTACTCAACCTGAAACTGTATACTTTTTATCTTGTTCATGGCCTATAGAAACATTTGGTATTATGGATGTGCAATGCAAATATAGAATCTCTCAATGACAAATAATGGAACATACAGTGCCGTGAAAAAGTATTTGCCCCCTTTCTGATTTGATATATTTTTGGATATCTTTTATACTGAATGTTATCAGATCTTCAAGCAAAACATAATATTAGATAAAGGGAACCTGAGTTTACAAATAACAGCAAAAATGTATACTTATTTTATTTATTGAATTAACACATTTATGCAACACCCAATTCCCTTGTGTGAAAAAGTAATTGCCCCCTTACACTCAATAACTGGTTGTGCCACCTTTAGCTGCAATGACTGCAACCAAACGCTTCCTGTAGTTGTTGATCAGTCTCACATCGCTGTGGAGGAATTTTGGCCCACTCTTGCATGCAGAACTGCTTTAACTCAGCGACATTTGTGGGTTTTCAAGCATGAACTGCTCGTTTCAAGTCCTGCCACAACATCTCAATTGGGATTAGGTCTGGACTTTTACTAGGCCATTCCAAAACTTCAAATGTGTTGCTTTTTAGCCGTTTTCATGTAGACTTGATTGTGTGTTTTGGATCATTGTCTTGCTGCATGACCCAGCTGCGCTTCAGCTTCAGCTCACAGATGGATGGCCTGACATTCTCCTGTAGAATTATCTGATACAGAGCAGAATTCATGGTTCCTTCTATTAAGGCAAGTTGACCAGGTACTGAGGCAGCAAAGCATCCCCAAACCATCACACAACCACCACCGTGCTTGACCGTTGGTATAAGGTTCTTACTGTGGAATGCAGTGTTTGGTTTTCGCCAGACATAATGGGACCCATGTCGTCATAAAAGTTATACTTCTGACTCATCTGTCCATAGAACATTCTTCCAATAGTCTTCATGATCATCCAGGTGCTTCCAGGTGCTTTTTGGCAAACTTGAGTCAACTTTTTGGATGAGATGGGTCCCATTATGTCTGACGAAAACCAAACACTGCTTTCCACAGTAAGAACCTCATGCCAACGGTCAAGCATGGTGGTGGTAGTGTGATGGTTTGGGGATGCTTTGCTGCCTCAGGACCTGGATGACTTGCCTTAATAGGAGCCAATTCTGCATGCAAGAGTGGGCCAATTGTTATATTTCTCCAGGGGAATTGGGTGTTGCATAACTAAATGTGTTAATTAAATAAATTAAATAAGTATACATTTTTGTTGTTATTTGTAAACTCAGGTTCCCTTTATCTAATATTATGCTGTCAATTGATACCAGTTGACCTGTGAATACCCAACAATGAGAGATTTACACCAATATATCAGAAATAATGATTTATGATACTGTGTTAAAACTGCTGGATCATGTGATTACCATTTCTAACTTAGGACTCCAAAATAAAAGCTCACACTCATGAGGTGACATGACACATCGATTCTGGAGAAATCTAAGCACTCTCCTTAAAGGGATAATTCACTTTTTTTGTTGAAGTTTTATTTTATATTCGTGAACTATCCCTTTATATATCACTTTAATGCAGATGTCAATGAGAGGACTGAATTTCATCAAGCTGTTGTTATTACTGGATTATTGGTTATTGTACTGGGCATTGTGCAAATGTTTAATAATGGGGATCGCCAAACAGAGTTTGCATGAAGTGTTTACACATGGAACAACAGGTGCAGTACTATTCCCAGCTTCCAATTAACTCATTCAACCCCTCTTCCCTGCAACTATTCCCCAGGTTGTTGCTGTAAACGAGAATCTGGTAAAATAAGGGTAAAATATATATATATATATATATAAATGTGCATAGTGTGTACAAATGACTCCTATTTTGGGTTCTATTTGGATGATCGATTGATCATTGCGAAATAAATCCTACCCATTTCCTCAAGCAGAGCATCTTTATCAAAAAGAGTTATCCTCATTTCCGGTAACTAGGTTGTGCAACTATGTATGAACTATCTTTATGAGTCCTTATCAGTACTTATCTGGGACCGGTTTCCCAAAAGCATCTTATGGCTAAGTTAATCTTTAGAACCTTCTAAGGAGCATCGTTAAACCTACGAGCTGTTTCCCAAAACCATCGTTACTAAAGTTGTCTTAAAAACGCTTGTTATTTAACGACTGCCTCAGACCGCACTTAGAACAGCTAAGTGCGTCGTTAGAGACTTTTTATGCCCTTTTGCGTCACTTTATTCACTTTATGCCAAGTGTGTGCAAAGCTGTCATCAAGGCAAAGGGTGGTTACTTTGAAGAATCTCAAATATAAAATATATTTTGATTTGTTTAACACTTTTTTGTTTACTTCATGATTCCATATGTGTTATTTCATAGTTTTGATGTCTTCACTATTATTCTACAATGTAGAAAATAGTAAAAATAAAGAAAAACCCTGGAATTAGTAGGTGTGTCCAAACTTTTGACTGGTACTGTATATATTTAAATTATATTGAAATAAATGTCATGCTCATTTAATCAAGTTTTATTTAGCTATTTGTACGCCACTGCCTGTAATTTTTGCCACAATATATTTAATGATGTGTAACAATGTTGATTTAGTGCATTATTATAGGGTAAGCGTTAGAATCAGCCTCCTCAATATTTGTAGCCATAGGTGATAATATTTCTCTAGGACCTGATCCGTCGTCAATATTGTGGAATAATTATAATGTTAAGGTAAGATTTGAAAGAGAGAAAGCTGATCCGATACAGAGAGCACCGCTGCCTTTCTTTCGATCCTATCAACACATGCCTCAACGACGCACTTAGCGAACGTTCTCTCTGCGTGGTGTTTTGGGAAACGCATGTTACATCTTCGGCAGTTGTAGGAAAGATGCATTGTTAAAACACTTGTAAGCCTAAATTCCATCGCTATCAGACAACCGGCCACAGTAGAGTACTCTCCTCTCATTTGCCCCTGGCAGGAAGTGGACTATTGTTTTTATTTCCTCATAGCTTTTCATTCCACGATGACGCATACACATATCTTTCCAAGAACTGCGTCCGATTAGAAATGACAGTGAATTGCATTTCCTTATCGATTCAATCAAGATGTCACCATCTTCTCTCTCTCTCTCACACACACACACACACACACACACACACACACACACACACACACACACACACACACACACACAGTCATAATGACTGTATTAATAAAGCAGGAGTGAGACAGTAGAAGGACAACAGCACACATACCACCAAGATAATAATAATAAATGCCATTTAAAATACACTTTCATCCAAAGGGACTTACAGTTGTGCTTGCATACATTTTCACATGGATGGCCCCAGCGGGAATCGAACCCACAATCCTGGCATTTTGGAGCTACAGGAAGTGAGCCACACAGGACCACACTTTTTTATATTTCACATTCTATACATGTACAGTTGGAAATATCACATCTGTTTGTTTCTACAAAGCCTTCACAGTCTGACAATAGGCAGCCCCTTGGCCTGAGACATGGCTGCTTGCCCCAACACATGGCTGACTTCAATAAGGTTCACAGTCATGTCTCAGGGCAAGTAGCCTTGTGTCACTTAGGGCAAGGCAGCGCCCATCTTGGTATCTCTATAACTCAGTGAACTCAGAATATGACATGAAAATGCACTACAGGCACATGCCTGTGCAGACCTGACAGGGGAATGTTAGTGGGAGGTTTTCAAGAACCTGCAATGGCATTCCTTAAAATTTAGGGCAAAGGAAACCCTTAGGGCTTGGGAGTTGGGACTGCACCCACAAGATCTGAGACTGCATGTCACCGGCTTAAAACATCAGAGAAAACTGGCTGGAATTCAGCTTGTGGTTTTGCTAAAGCTTGCAATGTGAGTCATAGTCGCACAAAGGTCAGATTTGAAAACCTATGCTGGATTTTCAAAGAAATAGGGTGTGCGTGTGGGGTAGAGAGTGAGGAGGCTGATGTGCTGAAGAGCATGAGCATGATACATGTTAGCTTGGCATATTCAATAACTAGCTTAATCAAATCTGGCATGAGTCTAAGCCTTAAAGGCGTAATCTTGCTACATCCATTTTTGGATTGATATTTACCCATTGATGCCTCATGAGTTCAACTGTAGTACCCCATCAGAACCCAAAATAAAAGCTTATTTTTACTCCGATGTTTGTAAACAAAGTAAATGTAAACAAACACTATATAGCCTCAAAACATGGTTAAGGCTATCATTTTGATATCATGGATGGTCAGTCCTTGCATCCATAGCTCTTTCGATCAGATCCGCTTTAGCCGACATCTGCATAGTGGTTGTTTTGGCGATGTCGGAGGTGGAGCTGAGTTAGAGCTGTCAAATCCACAAGCGGCTCCTGGCATTATACTTAAAGCGGACATTGCCATTGGTTGCAATGAGTCGCATTAAGAGAAATCCCATGCAGCCTTGTTTACAAGTTCGAACACTGGAATGTGACATGTAATCTACACCTCGATTAGGCTGATAGAAATCCTCATTATTTTGTTTAATGATTTTCAATTCGAGCGTCATTATTTCTATATAGCCTACACTTTCTCATTCTGAACTTCTAACGTGAGTGAGACGTGTGTGGCTTCCTGACAATGATCAAGAGCAGCTGCTCACTGATTTGACAGCTCCAACGCAGTTACACCTCCGACATCGCCAGAATATCAGCTTTGCGGATGTTGGCTATCCCCTGGTTAATGCTTGGTCTGATTGAATCTAGGCCTCACACCACATTTTAACCTCCTGTTCAGCACCATAATGAACATGATAATGAATGTGATGTTAATAGAAATGGTGGAATTACCCATTAAGGTAACTCTGTATTCTGTATGACATTGACATTCAATTAAATGAAGATTATTTATGTTACACTGTGGGCCTACTGTATATTTACAGAACGACAGGGACAGAATGTTCTTTTAATATGCCATCACAACATTTCAGAACATGCCTAAAATATATACATGATCTAACATTTAAATATGCCATTTAGCTAACCTATCGTAGTAGGCGTAAAATAAACGCCTGAGCGGGAAACCCCACATTCGGGTCATGACGAGAAAATAAACAGTTGGAAGAAGTTCTCTTCTGTACTGTTCAACCAATCCAGTAAATGTGGAGGAGGAGTTAAGATAGAGTGTCGCCTTGTTAATATTTTGGATGGAAACAACTTCAAAGAGCAAGCTAGCTAGCAAACGTGCGGTAGCTAGCTGCTAGACAGATATTCGCTAGTGTTGTCTAGCGATAATGGAATATCTGGCAAAGTTGACACAAACAAAATTGGTATGTGGTGTCTGTCGACTTTGTGGCAAGAACTTCATCTCGCTGTTTCACCGGGGACTGTAAACAGCGAGACACACATCCAAAAGCAGTAGTTGCGTCAAAGGCTCCCTTCCTTTTCTCCCTGAACCAGATGTTTCCGATTTCTCACGTCGCCGCTGAGGGTGCCATTTAGCAGACGGTTTTATCCAAAGCGTCTTACAGTAGTGCGTGCATACATACATTTATATATGTGTGATGCCAGTGGGAATCTAACCTACCATCCAGATGTTGCCAGCACCATGCTTTACCAACTGAGCCACACATAACCACCATTTTCAGTGTTAGTAGCTATTTGTGGGCTCTCCAACCCAGTTCCTGGTGAGCTACAGTCCTGTAGGTTTTCATTCCAACCTTAATCTAACACACCTGATTAATAATTAGCTGGTTGAGGTGCTGAACAGGTTAGTTACAACTGGGGTTGGAGCGAAAACCTACATGAGGGTGGCTCTCCAGGAACAGGGTTGGAGAGCCCTGAGCTATGGTCATCATCAGATCCTCATAGGATCATCATGGAGCATATGACTGCCTATGCTCTCAGGCACTGAAACAATAGACACAATGGAAGTGCCATATCATAGTACAGTAGCTTGAGACACAATAGAGACATGACATTAGACAATATAGACACAGGTGTATTTCAAACCTTTAATTTTAGTGTAACATGATTTCCCAACATTCAAAGGCAGTGGTTATGTGCTATATAAATGAATAAAGAATGAGTGAGTAACCCTTTATTACAGTCGGGTAAGTACTAGGTACTGGTAAATACTTGGCAACAAATGTTACGATTTGGTATAGAAGCTATTTCTAGTCCAAAGAAACAAAGTAGCCTACTCTAAAAATACACAATAATTGCTGAGAAATAAAATACCTAGTGTTACCTGCTAATTATTTCAGGTACCATGTAGTTATGATTGCATTAAGACTGTAATAACCTGATATGAAGCTGGTAATACTATATGATTGCATAATAATAACATTATAACTTTAAATACCTAGCTAGTACTTACCGTGCTGTTAAATAAAGTTACCAAAATGTGTTTTAAATAAAAAAAAGTTAAAAGATTTGTTAAGACCTAGAACTCTACTCCAAATGTCCATGATAATTGAATTATAACTTTTACATGTTTAGGCACTTACAAATCTACAAAATCAGCATACAGCGAAGACAGACAAGTACGACAGAAACATTGTTAAAGTAACTGTCCAGTGAAAATCTCACTTTTAAAAGTTAATATTCTGTTAACTCATACCTAAATAATGTTGTTGACTCATATTCTTGTATTTGTGGCCAAATCATAAATTGGAAAAAAACACTTTAAAAAACCCAACCTTAAACTCAAACAGACCGTTTAAAAAATGCTTTCTATTTCCTCATAGAGGATGATGTCATCCTCCTGAGGAGCTTGAGCTGGCCAATCAGCAGTCTATTCGTATGAATATTTTTAATAACCGGTATACGCCCACACCACTCTGTTGTTGGGGAACACCCACACCATTCCAACACAGAAAAGCTGCTTTTTAACATACTTAATTGAAACATTTAGGAAGGAAAACTATTTCACTCATACTGTACTGTAATTCATTGTAGGTCATATTTCATAGAAATCGGGAAACACTGGACAGTTACTTTACTACTGGATTTACCCAGTCTTTGGTGATACAAGAGACCCTCACAGGCCATAGTGTACATATTACAGTACACATATATTTATAGATATACAATCGTTTTATCACTATGTTACATTATACATTATCTTGCTGAGAACGTCACCCTATTAGATCACATTCTGATCTATGGGGGAATTACAATATTTGGATCAATGACAAAGTGCTTTTCCAACTTTCATTAAGTTTCTTTGGCAGCTTCTTCCACTGATACTCTTGGTTAGAAGGATACTGTACAGTGTTTGGGGCTCTTTGGGTGTAGCTTTATAATTTACATTGAAAAAGGTATACCATTGCATTCCACACTGCATAAAGAGATGGAATATTGAATATTTGTCTATGAGACAGGAAATACATTATGGCCACCCTTTTAGATAAGGACATTATTTTAGACAATAATTATTTCTTATTGCATGAGAGCTGAATTTCAGACAAATGAGAGATCACATACAGTATATCCCAAATGATACAATATGCATCAACAGTCAAACACTCTAGATTCACTTTTGCCATGGTACTGAGTCTAGAGGCAACTTTCAAGTTCATCCCAGATCAAGATTTGGCTACACTGTCATAAATGTATACAACTTTCAATAAATCAAAATTAAAATAATCCAGTTAAACAACACGACAGGGGATTCATCCCGATTCTCCACACTTCTCCCAAACTGTGCACACACTACCCGTCATGGATTTAACATAAGCTATGACATGCACATGACTGCTAAGGAAGGACAACCTCAACAACAACAAAAATGTTGCTCTTTCACTTTCAAACAGTTCAAAATGTTACAGTAAATTACAAACGAAAAGCACACGAGATGAATTACCCAAGGCTCCTTTTCACACAAGTATCCCATTGACCTCAATGAACGATTTACGTGGAAGTTCAAGTTGTGCAAGCTTATCTCAACCCTGAAGCAGCCCCTTAGAGAAGATGCTTAGAGGCATCAGAAGGCCCCTCCCTGAGATTTGAGGTTGAGGATCTCTGCAGCCAGCTTCTGGGCGTCCATCAGGTGAGGGAACATCCCCATGACCGAATCCACCTGGTGGGGGTTGAAGATGGCCTGCAGTTTCTTACGGAGCTCCTCTCTCTCTGGGTCAAAGACAGAAGGTGGAGGTGGCTGGGCCCAGGAGTGGTGTTCCTGCTGATCCCCGTAAGAGGAGCATGAGTGGGGGGCCTTGTGCGGGGTAGGGGGGTGATGGAGGTGGGGGCCGGGGGGGAGGCTACAGGACGCCCTAGCCTGGGGGACCCCGCCATGGAAGGGGTCTGACCAGTACTTCTGGGGGTGCTGATGGTGGTGGAAATGATGTTCCCCCACCCCGCCTTGCTGGAAGTTGCAGGGGAGGCTGTAGTGGTGCTGGTGGTGCATGTTGGGTGGGAACAGAGGGGGCGAGTAGGTGTCATACCTTGGCTGGGATTGGGAATGGGTCTGTAGTGGGTTGCTGTGGTGCTGCTGCTGGGGACCTGTGGAGGGAGCCAAATTGAAACAACACCTGCAGGACCGGGGGCTGTCCTGGGCCAGCCTCTCTGGATGCATGCCTGGATGTCTGGAACCAGAGGGGAAGCCCTGCTGTTGCTGCTGCTGCCTGGGCCTGAAGGCCTTGCTGTGGCCTTGGGACACATCCGAGTACTGGCTCTGGCTCTCATAGGAGCCAAAACCAGAGTCCAAGCGCTCATGGGAGATGCTGGCATAGGGGAGGTCACTAGTAGTGGAGGGGGGGAGCATACTGGGCATATTGGGCATACTGGGCCAGTCCATCTGTCCTTGGCCTACTGCTGTGGGGCTGCGGGCCTGCTGGTTCCTACTGGAGCGTGGCCCATCCCAGTACAGCAACATGTTCTCAGTTACTTGGCTCTTGGGACCCTCCCTCAGGGAACCGCGGTGCTCCAATGTCAGCCTGTGCTCCAGGTCGTTCTCCAAAGAATAGGAGGGAAAGGGGCCAGGGTCGGACTTGGGGCCCCTCAGGTGTGACATCATGGGATTCCGGTCCTCTTTTACCGAGGAGAGCCTGGCCTTCTCCCTGAGCTCGTCAGCCAACGAGCAGTGGGATTGGTGAGTGCGCTCTGGGTGGTAAAACTTACACTTTACGCCGTAGGTGCACTTTTGACCTGAAATAGAAAACATAAATGACAGTTACTAAACATTAAAGTTATTACAGTATTACTATCTAGTCTAAAATCAACTAAAATAATACTGTTAACCCTACAATTCTACAGAACAAAGTATGTGGGCTCTTCACAAAGAATCTCAGATTAGAAGTGCTGATATAAAATCAGTTATGCCTAATGGGGGACCTGATCCTAGATTAGTACTTAGTTTCTCTTCTGCTTCAACAAGACAGGTTTTAAACTAAGCTTCAGTGTTCAGACAATAGAATTAGAACCCTATGGTATCTCACATATATATCTCTATGATTGAGATCTTACCATAAGGACAGAGTTGGCGCTTGTGTTCTGGCAGCAGAGGCTTCTTCCTCAGGAAGTTCTCCAGACTGGGACCATGACGACCAAGCGGGTCATCTGGAGGCATGAATCTGGGCCGGAAATGGGTAATACTGATCAGAAAACCATACAGGCAGAGAAGTGATAGAGGATCTAATCTGATTGATAAGAACAATAAAACATGGTGCAGTCAGAGGGAATGTTTGCTTTTCATATCTGAAATAATTACACGAATACATGTTGTCTCATTCATCATCCTCTAACCTTACAGGAGTGGTCACCAACCTTTTCTGAGTCAAGATCACTTTCTGAGTCAAAATGCAAGCTGAGATATACGTTAACCTATTAAAAACAGTACTGTAACAATGAGGTTTGTGCAGTAGGCTATAGGCCCAATTCATTATCACTGCATATTGGCTTTGCTTGAATTGTCCTGCCAATGGATTGTTGTTCGCACCATTTTTATACATTTTAGGTAGGCTATACGATCACACCGGTAATAGATCAGTTGTATTACTTGTGAGGCACAGCTGAATAAGCTACACTGAAATAATTTGCTTTTTATTTTTATTTTACTGGGCTGACGGTGCCTGCATCTGATGGTCAGTCTCAGTGGACAGAGAGAGCAGCAGACTGAGGGTCGCCTCTCAATGCCCCCCCGCTCTCCCTTTCCTCCGCTGACACTGACCAAAAAGGGACACTGTCTTCCAGCTGATGGTAAAACTCGAGTCGCACTGCATTATTTCTGCCTCATGCACAAATTCATGTTGTTACTCCTATGAATGGAGAAAGTGAAATATTCCTCTATATTAAAAAAGACCCAAGCCGCTAATAATAACCACACAAGCCTATCGATACACTTTCCTACTCATTCATTACAGCTGCAGTGCTGGTTGTAGCGCGAGTGGAAGTAGGATGAACGTGCATTTTATGGCTTATAAAAGTGTTGAATAAAAAGTGTTGACAGTGCTTAGTAAGAACTTAAACATGAACACACCAAAAAAAACTGCAGCTCTTTGCTGTATTCATTGAGTCATTGTTTTAAAAGTTCTGAAATCTCAAAATATCAACTTTGCTGTAGCTTTCTTTTGTGCCTGCTACGTTACTGCAGACACGGTAATCTGAGCCATACGATTGGCCAGCGGTAGGCCTATAGTGCACTTGATTTACTCTCCGGGCCCGCTGGGAAGGCAGAGTTTGTACCTTCAGACACATGAAATGGTTTAAAATGGAACACTTCACCTACCTGGCACGCAGTGCAGCTGAATCGGGTGCACCTACCACCAACAGTGCGAGATGAATAAAAAAAATAGGAACACAAGGCTTTATCGTAGTTTTTTTTAAAGAAATTTTTGGCGATCGACTAGGAATGCCTTGGAGATCGACCAGTTGGTGACCATGTCCTTACAGTATATTACACTACTACAGTATCTCTCTAAAGGTCAAATCTGCTTTTCGGAACCAAGTTGCTCGCTATTTCTGAATCCTGACTAAAGAACTATGTGCATTACTAAAATTGTTGTACATATCTACCCTTGACATCAATGCATGATTAATATTTTCTTTTTTGAAGAGTTCAAAACCTGTATATACAGTGGGGGAAAAAAGTATTTAGTCAGCCACCAATTGTGCAAGTTCTCCCACTTAAAAAGATGAGAGAGGCCTGTAATTTTCATCATAGGTACACGTCAACTATGACTGACAAATTGAGAATTTTTTTCCAGAAAATCACATTGTAGGATTTTTAATGAATTTATTTGCAAATTATGGTGGAAAATAAGTATTTGGTCACCTACAAACAAGCAAGATTTCTGGCTCTCACAGACCTGTAACTTCTTCTTTAAGAGGCTCCTCTGTCCTCCACTCGTTACCTGTATTAATGGCACCTGTTTGAACTTGTTATCAGTATAAAAGACACCTGTCCACAACCTCAAACAGTCACACTCCAAACTCCACTATGGCCATGACCAAAGAGCTGTCAAAGGACACCAGAAACAAAATTGTAGACCTGCACCAGGATGGGAAGACTGAATCTGCAATAGGTAAGCAGCTTGGTTTGAAGAAATCAACTGTGGGAGCAATTATTAGGAAATGGAAGACATACAAGACCACTGATAATCTCCCTCGATCTGGGGCTCCACGCAAGATCTCACCCCGTGGGGTCAAAATGATCACAAGAACGGTGAGCAGAAATCCCAGAACCACACGGGGGGACCTAGTGAATGACCTGCAGAGAGCTGGGACCAAAGTAACAAAGCCTACCATCAGTAACACACTACGCCGCCAGGGACTGAAATCCTGCAGTGCCAGACGTGTCCCCCTGCTTAAGCCAGTACATGTCCAGGCCCGTCTGAAGTTTGCTAGAGTGCATTTGGATGATCCAGAAGAGGATTGGGAGAATGTCATATGGTCAGATGAAACCAAAATATAACTTTTTGGTAAAAACTCAACTCGTCGTGTCTGGAGGACAAAGAATGCTGAGTTGCATCCAAAGAACACCATACCTACTGTGAAGCATGGGGGTGGAAACATCATGCTTTGGGGTTGTTTTTCTGCAAAGGGACCAGGACGACTGATCCGTGTAAAGGAAAGAATGAATGGGGCCATGTATCGTGATATTTTGAGTGAAAACCTCCTTCCATCAGCAAGGGCATTGAAAATGAAACGTGGCTGGGTCTTTCAGCATGACAATGATCCCAAACACACCGCCCGGGCAACGAAGGAGTGGCTTCGTAAGAAGCATTTCAAGGTCCTGGAGTGGCCTAGCCAGTCTCCAGATCTCAACCCCATAGAAAATCTTTGGAGGGAGTTGAAAGTCCGTGTTGCCCAGCGACAGCCCCAAAACATCACTGCTCTAGAGGAGATCTGCATGGAGGAATGGGCCAAAATAAGACTTACAGAAAACGTTTGACCTGTGTCATTGCCAACAAAGGGTATATAACAAAGTATTGAGAAACTTTTGTTATTGACCAAATTCTTATTTTCCACCTTAATTTGCAAATAAATTCATAAAAAATCCTACAATGTGATTTTCTGGATTTTTTTCCCTCATTTTGTCTGTCATAGTTGACGTGTACCTATGATGAAAATTACAGGCCTCTCTCATCTTTTTAAGTGGGAGAACTTGCACAATTGGTGGCTGACTAAATACTTTTTTCCCCCACTGTATATATCTCATGTTTCTGTCCAAAATCAGTATTTATGACAGATGTTACCTGCTGAAACCCCCCATACCACATATATGGCCTCTTCACCATTGTATCTTCTCTCTATCTATCCCCCCCAAAAAAACAAAACAACATTCCCAGCACTCACTTGTCATTGACGAAAGAGTACATGAGCAGCCTCTCCTCGATACAGCGCTTCCACTCCGGACGCTCTCCCTGGAGGTCCCTATAGGTGTCGTTGGACACGATCACACCGTCCGACTCGTAGGCCAGCTTCACAATAAAACGGTCATCGTAGCAGACCACCCGTTTACCACCGACGCGTCTCGAGGGAGTGAAGACAACTATCTTCTTCTTCTCCAGCTCCACTAGAATGTGTTGGTCTGGAAATAAATGTGCAGATGTTTCACCAAGTGTTTTATTATGGCCCAGTCCAGGGCCTGTATTCATAAAGCTTCTCAGAGTAGGAGTGCTGATCTAGGACCAGTTTTGCCTTATAGATAATAATGAATAAGATTACATGGACAGGGCGGGGACCTGATCCTAGATCAGACTGTGAGATGCTTTATGAATACGGGCCCAGAATGGTTTAACAAGGTGAATGCTGTTGTTGGTGATGTGAGTAGCAGAGATGGTTCGCTTTATGTTTGGTCTTTCATCATATAGGAATTCTGTTTTTGACACAGATTATTCCACTGCCTTACCTGTTAATGTCTTCTTAGTACACATTAACATGACTAATAATTCAAAACATAGTTAGATATACCACGTATTCTATACCTTTGCATGATAAACAAGCCAGGTGACACTATGATAATTGTCACGGATTCAGCCGAGGCTGCCCCTCCTCCTTGCTCTGGCAGGCTTCGGCGTTCGTCGTCACCGGAGTACTAGCTGCCACCGATCTATGTTTCTTTGTTCTACTTGTTTTGTCTTTATTGTACACACCTGGTTCCCTATTTAACCCTCTGGCTCCCACTGTATTGTGTGCGTGTTTGTTCTATGTTTGGTGTCATCGACTGGTGAACGATATTTGTCCTCCCTGCGTGGAGATTATGTTCATTTATTTTCACTAGTAAAGTACGTTGTCTACTAGCTCTGTGTCCTGCGCCTGACTCCGTCCTACCGCTACACATGACGCCTGACAATAATAAAGGGTTGCATAACATTGCTTCAATCAAATATGGTATAGTCTGCAAATCAAACAGGGGACACTCAAAACACAAATCCATCAATGGTGGAGAAAAAAATCCCTGAGACAAAACATACAGACCACAAAACCATCAATCATTTACAACAAATATTACATGACTGGTTAATTATTACATAAGCTGTTCAAACTTCACAACCTACCTCCCCAATATCATATAACACGCAAACCTCCCAGCAGACTAAATTAAAGCATTGACAAATACATTCAAAATGAATGTTGAATAAATGCACCTGTGTGTACACAGTGAAAATGGACAATGGAAATGGTCGTTTAAATAAACAAAATGGACAAGCTAAAGGCAACGATGTTCAGCAATCAACTTTGGAAAGAACTGGGGCCATATTCATACGGTGTCTCAACGTAGGAGTGCTGATCGAGGATCTGGTCCCCCCTGTCCATGTAATCTTATTCATTATGACCTAAAAATAATTAATTTTTTTCCTAAAACAGCACTCCTACTGATACACTTGAATATGGACCCTGACTTGTATAAGTGTGAGACATAGGGCTCCATATTGAAAAAAATGATTGACTCCTATTGACTAAAGCCTGAAAGGCATTCACAAATGTAAACTGTCTGTGCCAAAAATGCTTTCATTGTTCAGGTAACACTGCTTGATTGGAAACAGTTAAAGACGCAGTTTCAGATAGTAACCTAGGTGTGTGAGAAAAAAACAGTTGCACTTCCTGGTTGGGGGTTTCCCAATTCCTAGGGAGGACTGACTGTCTGACTGCTGCGGTTATTTTTAATTCCTGGTTACTGGGATTGAAAATCTAACTTTTGGCTTGTTTGCTCCACCTCAGACAAATCCACTGAACCATGCAAGCAGTGGGCACCAGGTGATGATGTGTCCACAGTGGTCCGCTTTGTTAGTGGTAACGCTAGGTTAACACAAACACCTCCTAACAACTGATAACTGATAGCCAGCAGGTACATGGAAAAGAGTCACTGCTGATGTAGGTTGAAGCAATCACATTTGGGACAATTTATTTAGAATTTTTTTCAGAAAGACTAGAGTATGATGTCAGCGAGTATTTATTGATTTCAGTATTTCAACATTTGTCCAATAATACCCTCCGGTGGAGTTTCCCAATGCCTTTTGCCTCAGTCTCATAATACAAACACATCATATGACTGGAGACATACTGTAGCTGCAGTGAGTGTACTAACCGAAACTCCTACATATAAATGAGATAAGGAAATGTCCTGCATTATTTTAAAGCAACAGTAACAATGAATACCGTATTGTATTGTACTTTATTGTATTGTGTTGATTTTCTCTATCTAGTATTTTAATGTATTGCTGACCTCACAAAATGAATTTCCATAGACCTGGACTAAAAAGAGAGAGATTAATCTCTGTCCCGGAAACTGGCCGTAAAAGGATAGTTTCATATTGTACATGAACACAGTTTGTGTTTTCAAAATCCCCTGGTGTTACATAGGTATTAATATTCAGAAACAGAGACTAGTCTAATTTGAACTATGTGTGAATCTCACCTGTGATGGGGACATCAGGCCTGGGCTGCTCCTTGCGCCAGGAGGGCACAAACACAATGACGGTTGAGTGACCTCTATCCAGGAAATAGATCACTGCCAACTCAATTCCTCTACAGGAGAACACTTCCTTGTTACCATGACTGGAAGGGAGACAGAGAGCAGGAAATGGGATAAATAATTACTTTCGATGAATCAACAAACATTTCTAGTGAAGAGGGCAGATTTAAAGGAAGGAGAGAGGTGAAGGAGCAGTTTTATGTCTATGTCTGATTGTTTCATTGTTAAATGGTAGAGCAAAGTTAATTTGATCAAATAATTCCTCCTCTGTCTACAATGCATTCACTTCACAGTGGCAATGCAAGCGAATGACAAGGTTTGCATAGTAAAAAAAATGCAGGAACACAGGCATGCAGCTCAAACAGTACTCTTTCTGAGGAGTAAAGTAGCACGACATCATTAAAGTAAAGTAGCTGTTATTTAAGTGATAATGCCAGAGAAGCCGGTGTTAGGAGGATAAATTGGCACGGGTGTTACCGTGCCAAAACCGTGCCAATATATCCTCCAAACACCGGCTTCGAGGGCATTATCACTTTTATACAATGGGTTACCAACATATTCATATAATGATTGACATATTTTCATTAAAAACGTTATTTTGATTAATTTATTCGTACTATTTCATCCATCCACAAGATATAGTCCAGACACAAATCTAGGGTTGCTAGAGACGTGACCCAGTTGGTCAGTCCTTTTGTTCCTTCTAAACATTCTTATCCCTTGCTTGCTATCTAGCCAACTACGGCTAATTTACAGTCACGTCAAAAAGTGCAGCCAGAATAACAGCATTTGCATTTGCATTTGTTTAAGCTGTTTTCTAATGACATTTATTTGGATACACCCATAACAATGAGCTAAAGAGGCGCAATTTCACCTCGCATAGAAAATGTGCTCACTCGTCAGGACACTGTTGTTCAGAGGAGCTTGCCAACAACACAGCTACAGTAACACAATCACTTCAAACTGAAGCTGGAAAGACTGCAAATTAGCTGTGTTTCGTTTAACCTTTTTTCAATTGAATTTTTTTTGTATATAACCATAAAAATTATGCCAGCTGATTCATGATTTCGACTGGCTGAGAAATGCTGCCTGCCTGTCTGTCTGTCTGTCTGTCTCGACCCGACTCCTGACACGTTCTATGGGACAGCTGGAGATCGAATTTCAATATTGAAACAATGTTGCAAATGTCGGAGAGACAGACAACAAGGTTTATACAAATCTCTGCTGTTGAAAACAAAATGTTAGTCTAAAAGAAATGTGAGATAATGTCTAGATGCTTTTTATAGTGGAGATCAAGTTTATTAGTTATTATTAGCACAGTCAGATGGAACAGAGTAAATAGGCATTTTAACGTCATAGATTTAGCCGGTGGCAACTTGTGGAATAGATACTGGCTGGAATGCGGTTTTAACCAATCAGCATTCAGGATTAGACCCACCCGTTGTATAAAAGATAATAACATATGACAGAATGACAGCTATACTGTACAACAAGGTCCTATTTTACGTATATCAGTGCTAAATAACACCTGCAAAGAGACCTTTGAACGTCATTGGACAAAACACAGATTTAAAAAATATAACTTCGGCAAAACATAAAAACATCACATGGTAGGGTGAGTAGGTGAAAACTAGCTTCGGTGATGAAATTTCACTTCCTTATGTTATAAAATAAATTTTACCAAGACAAATATGATTCTTCATGTTCTAAATCATTCAGTTGGGCTTTCTCTAACATATCATTAACATTATATCCTAAAAGTCTATGGAGGACTAAAAGTGCCACAATTAAATAAATAAATACACCATTAAATAATTACTTAAATGTGTCATTAATTAATTAAAATTAGAATTAAATACATAAATGTGTTATTAAATGTGTCATTAATTAATTCAAATACCGATTCATTTTATGTAAAATACATATATAATAATTTCACTATTTACATTTACATTTCATGGTCCTGCGTTGGAGTGCTTCCTGAATTACTTAAAACTGTCAAACTGACCCATCAAAAGTTGGTAGGCGGAACCTAACGCCTGATTGGTTACCCTCTGCATCAAGCCAAGACAAATCAATTCCGGATAATGTCAGCAGGTCCTGCTTCTACATCCTCTGCTAAGTTTAAAATGTCTCTAACCAACTCCCTGGAAAGTTCACGGAGATCCTCCATTGTCTCTATCCAGGTTGGCCTACTCTACTTCAGACCAAAGCAATGGATCAGACTAGATTCGCGTTAGCCCCGCCCAAAGTCAGATTTCGTAACCTAATATATCCAATAATAAGCACAGAGCTCTGTTGACAGAGAGCGTTGCCGCTTCTTGCAGCGATTTTTTTAGGATTTTACATGTTGTGGTGGTCTTCTGCAAAGTTGTTTCTGTGGGTCGCAAAAAGCAAAATTAACATGACACGAGTTGAATTAAATGTAAAAGGCTTTGATAATAGAACGCTTGCGGTAGGCCTCCGCTCAGTGCAATGTTGACATTTCACAAAAATACGCTTGTTTTTCTGAGAAATCTTTGAAAAACAACAGGACTTTCGCATCAATATGAAAAGTGTATACTAAAATATAAAAATACTACATGTCATGTCTCAAAACCGATATCTATCTTACCTCTATATTGTTTTATGTTCTCCGGATTCGCGAAGAAAGATGACGAGTTCAACATTGAGCCTGTCAGTTTGCATTAATTCTCGCACAGCATCCAACCTAGCTGACGCAATGCTATTTTCCAGATTTTGTACCACTTTTTTTTTATCTTGGCCATCCTACAAGGATATAAAACTGAATGGATTATTATAGATTCATGGGGTTTGGACCATTGTTTTTTTAAAGGAGTATCTACACAAGTAACATAGTATTTTACCAATTGGTGAAAAAAATTGTTTTGGACAACCTACATTTTTTAGTAATTTAGCAGACGCTCTTATCCAGAGCAATTAGGGTCAAGTGCCTCGCTCAAGGGAACATCAACAGATTTTTCACCCAGTCGGCTTAGGGATTTGAACCAGCGATCTTCCGTTTACTGGCGCAATATATTTGAGATTCTTCAAATAGCCACCCTTTGCCTAGATGACAGCTTTGCACACTCTTGGCATTCTCTCAACCAGCTTCATGAGGTAGTCACCTGGAATGCATTTCAATTAACAGGTGTGCCTTCTTAAAAGTTAATTTGTGGAATTTCTTTCCTTCTTAATGCGTTTGAGCCAATCAGTTGTGTAGTGACAAGGTAGGATATACAGAAGATAGCCCTTTTTGGTAAAAGACCAAGTCCATATTATGGCAAGAACAGCTCAAATAAGAAAAGAGAAACGACAGTCCATCATTACTTTAAGACATGAAGGTCAGTTAACATGGAACATTTCAAGAACTTTGAAAGTTTCTTCAAGTGCAGTTGCAAAAACCATCAAGCGCTTTGATGAAAATGGCTCTCATGAGGACCACCACATGAGTGGAAGACCCAGAGTTACCTCTGCTGCAGAAGATACATTCATTAGAGTTACCAGCCTCAGAAATTGCAGCCCAAATAAATGCTTCACAGAGTTCAAGTACAGACACATCTCAACATCAACTGTTCAGAGGAGACTGTGTGAATCAGGCCTTCATGGTCGAATTGCTGCAAAGAAACCACTACTAAAGGACACCAATAAGAATAAGAGACTTGCGCCAAGAAACACAAGCAATAGACATTAGACCGGTGGAAATGTGTCCTTTGGTCTGGAGTCCAAATTTGAGATTTTTGGTTCCAACCGCCGTGGCTTTGTGAGACGCGGTGTGGGTGAACGGATGATCTCTGCATGTGTATTTCCCACCGTAAAGCATGGAGGAGGAGGTGTTATGGTATGGGGGTGCTTTGCTGGTGACACTGGCTGTGATTTATTTCGAATTCACACTTAATCAGCATGGCTACCACAGCATTCTGCAGCGATACGCCATCCCATCTGGTTTGGGCTTAGTGGGACTATCATTTGTTTTTCAACAGGACAATGACCCAACACACCTCAAAGCTGTGTAAGGGCTATTTTACCAAGGAGAGTGATGGAGTGCTGCATCAGATGACCTGGCCTCCACAATCACCCGACCTCAACCCAACTGAGATGGTTTGGGATGAGTCGGACTGCAGAGTGAAGGAAAAGCAGCCAACAAGTGCTCAGCATATGTGGGAACTCCTTCAAGACTTTTGGAAAAGCATTCCAGGTGAAGCTGGTTGAGAGAATGCCAAGAGTGTGCAAAGCTGTCATCAAGGCAAAGGGTGGCTATTTGAAGAATCTCAAATATTTTTTGATTTGTTTAACACTTTTTGGGTTAATTCATGATTCCATATGTGTTATTTCATAGTTTTGATGTCTTCACTATTATTCTACAATGTAGAAATTAGTAAAAATTAAGAAAAACCCTTAAATGAGTAGGTGTGTCCAAACTTTTGACTGGTAGTGTCCACGTGGATTGTGTTTCCTTATTGGTTTATGAATTGAATCAAGTCCAAACAAAACACTCAAATAGCTAGGTAATCAAACTGTAATCAAGAAGTTCTAAAATGTTGGCTTGGATCCATCCATGTAATAAGGAGCAGACAATAAAAAATGGTCGTATATGCAAATACTTGAACTAAGAAGACATAATAAGACTGAGTGACAATGTCGTCTGGCCTGTTACATTTTTGTCATTTAGCAGACATTCTTATCCAGAGCGACTTACAGTTAGTGCATACATTATTATATTTATTTTTCATACTGGCACACCGTGGGAAGCGAACCCACAACCCTGGCGTTGCAAACGCCATGCTCTACCAACTGAGCTACATCCCTGCCGGCCATTCCCTCCCCTACCCTGGACGACACTGGGCCAATTGTGCGCCTCCCCATGGGTCTCCCGGTCACGGCCAGCTACGACAGAGCCTGGATTCAAACCAGGATCTCTAGTGACACAGCTAGCACTGCGATGCAGTGCCTTAGACCACTGCGTCACTCGGGAGATACTGTTCAATATGAACTCTATCCTCACAATATAAACACCACCTTGACACATAGCTATCACTGGGAGCCAGTAGGAGGCAGAGACTTGTGTTGGAGATTTGCATATTGTGCAGCATTAACCTTTGCAAAGGCATGCACAGGCATGGCTAACTACCTCTTCAAACCCAGCTGAGAAAATTACATTAAGGTGTATGAGAAGAACTTGTGGTTCTTGTGTTGCAGGTAGTTCAACAGCTGATAATGAGTAGTTGTACACCTGTACTTTTACAGGTATTTTTAGCAACATGGGGCATTAGGATAATACAGTACATCCGCTTCATCTAATTTCTCAACCATAATAACACCTTAACTCTTACAGTGCAGGACTGTCATCACCATGACATACACGAGGGCACGCACACAGCTGAACTCATTGAAACACTTACATTGAATGCTAGCTCTTACAAACATTACAAAAAAAAATCACTTCTCTTCTCGACTCGCTCACCTCATGGCCACATTGCTGCCGTCAATGACGATAGGTTTCAGTCCACTGTCTGTGTCCCTCCTGTCTTCCAGTAATGAGACTGGTCTGTCTCTCTGGGGGCCATGGGTCCTAGAGGAGGCCATGCTGGAGCCTGTGTGGCTTATGGGGCCAGTAGTATCTTCACCACTCTCAGGGATGGTTGAGTTAGAAGTACCAGTGCTGGCTCCGCTGCTGACCAGCTCCCCCAGTACAGAGTTGGTGTCTGTACTCAGGCCTAGCTTCAGCAGGGCGGCCCGTACCTCCATGGGGGAGTAGCCCAACTTTCTGAAGAAGTCCACTCTGAGCTGGAGCTCTCCTGGGTCGGGTTCAAATGGACCCGAGGCTGGGGTCTGGAGGCTGGGAAAGGCCTGGTCCATCCTCTACTACCGTCAGTCTGTGCTTGTCCTGTGCAGCTGTTCAGCATGGGAGGGTTATGACCTATTTTTCATGTTGAAACTGTTGCCTGGATTGAACAGAGAGAGACTTTTGTTAAATTCAAGACAATGTAATGCAAATACTCTGAACAAAAATAGTCCCCCAAATTATACTTTTGAATAATCTGTCCATAGAACATTCTTCTTGATGATCATCCAGGTGCTTCCCGGTGCTTTTTGGCAAACCTGAGACAACTTTTTGGGCAGCAGTTCTCCCATTATACCTGGCGAAAACCAAACACTGCATTCCACAGTAAGAACCTCATACCAACGGTCAAGCATGGTGGTGGTAGTGTGATGGTTTGGGGATGCTTTACTGCCTCGGGACCTGGACGACTTACCTTAATAGAAGGAACCATGAATTCTGCTCTGTATCATAGAATTCTACAGGAGAATGTCAGACCATCCGTCTGTGAGCTGAAGCTGAAGTGCAGCTGGGTCAAGCAAAAAATTGCTAAAAAGCAACATATTTGAAGTTTTGGAATGGCCTAGTCAAAGTTCAGACCTAATCCCAATTGAGATGTTGTGGTAGGACGTGAAACGAGCAGTTCATGCTTGAAAACCCACAAATGTCGCTGAGTTAAAGCAGTTTTGCATGCAAGAGTGGGCCAAAATTACTCCACAGCGATGTGAGAGACTGATCAACAACTACAGGAAGCATTTGGTCATTGCAGCTAAAGGTGGCACAACCAGTTATTGAATGTAAGGGGGCAATTACTTATTCACACATGGGAATTGGGTGTTGCATAACTTTGTTAATTAAGTATCATTTTTTTTTGTTATTTGTAAACTCAGGTTCCCTTTATCTAGTATTAGGTTTTGCTTGAAGATCTGATAACATTCAGTATCAACAATATGCAAAAATAGAGAAAATCAGAAAGGGGGCAAATACTTTTTCACGGCACTGTATAAATGCAATATGCAACAATTTCAAATATTTTACAGTTCACATAAGGAAATCAGTCAATTGAAATAAATTCATTAGGCACTAATTTATGGATTTCACAAGACTGGGAATACAGATATGTAGGGGCGTGTATCCGAAAACCAGTCAGTATCTGGTGTGACCACAATTCGCCTCATGCCGCGCGACAGATCTCCTTCGCATAGAGTTGATCAGGCTGTTGATTGTGACCTGTGGAATGTTGTCCCACTCTTCTTCAATGGCTGTGCGAAGTTGCTGGATATTGGCGGGAACTGGAGGACGCTGTTGTACACGTCGATCCAGAGCATTCCAAACATGCTCAATGGGCGACATGTCTGGTGAGTATGCAGGCCATGTAAAAACTGGGACATTTGTGTACAGATCCTTGCGACATGGAGCCGTGCATTATCATGCTGAAACATGAGGTGATGGCGGCGCATGAATGCCACGACAATGGGCATCAGGATTTCATCACAGTATATCTGCGCATTCAAATTGCCATCGATAAAATGCAATTGTGTTCATTGTCAGTAGTTTATGCCTCCCGAGTGGCGCAGTGGTCTAAGGCACTGCGTCTCAGTGCTTGAGGCGTCACTACAGACCCCCTGGTTCGATTCCAGGCTGTATCACAACTGGCCGTGATTGGGAGTCCCATAGGGCGGCGCACAATTGGCCCAGTGTTGTCTGGGTTTGGCCGGTGTAGGCCGTCATTGTAAATAAGAATTTGTCCTTAACTGACTTGCCTAGTTAAATAAAGGTAAAATAAATAAATAAATGCCTGCCCATACCATAACCCCACCGGCACCATGGGGCACTCTGTTCACAATGTTGACATCAGCAAACCGCTCGCCCACATGTCTGCCATCAACCCGGTACATTTGAAACCGTGATTCATCTGTGAAGAGCACACTTCTCCAGCGTGCCAGTGGCCATCGAAGGTGAGCATTTGCCAACTGCAGTCAGGTCAAGACCCTGGTGAGGACGACGAGCATGCAGATGAGCTTCCCTGAGACGATTTCTGACAGTTTGTGTAGATATCCTACAGTTGTACAAACCCAGTTTCATCAGCTGTCCGGGTGGCTGGTCTCAGACGCTCCCGCAGGTGAAAAAGCCACATGTGGAGGTCCTTGGCTGGTGTGGTCTGCAGTTGTGATGCCAGTTGGAAGTACTGCCAAATTTTCTAAAACGACGTTGCTTATGGTAGAGAAATGAACATTCAATTCAGCTCTGGTGGACATTCCTGCTGTCAGCATGCCAATTGCACACTTCCTCAAAACTTCAGAGGCACATTTTAGAGTGGCCTTTTATTGTCCCCAGCACAAGGTGCACCTGTGTAATGATCATGCTGTTTAATCAGCTTCTTGATATGCCACACCTGTCAGGTGGATGGATTATCTTGGCAAAGGAGAAACGCTCACTAACATTTTGGTAGACGCTCTGGAGCGATTTAAAGGCACTATTAGGATTCAGTGCCTTGCTCAACGTCACATCAACAGATTTTTCCCCTAGTTGGCTCAGGGATTCGAACCAGCAATCTTTCGGTTGCTAGCGCAATGCTCTTAACCCCTAGGATACCTGCCGCCCACTAACAGGGATGTAAACAAATGTGTGCATCTTAGTGCATATGGAACATTTCTGGGCTCTTTAATTTCAGCTCATGAAACATGGGACCAACACTTTATATTTTTGTTCAGTGTAGTTTGGCTAACATACTGTTTTATGTCAGAGTAATATGCAAATAATTCAGTTGACAACTTGACATATTGACTGTACTGCATTAAATGTGTATTACGTTGCAGGTCTAATATCTTTGTATTCACATTAGGCAAAATTGTCATAGGTCTACAGCAATTGCAAACAGTTTTAAGATTATTCCAATGTATCACAGAAACCACACAATTAAACTGGCAAACCTATTGTAAACTTCCCAAATGTTATTCAACATTACCATACCCTGAAGAACACTGGACGAATCACGACAGCATATAACTAGATTAATCCCAAACCAATATCAAGTATTTACCCATGTAAATAATAAAATAACATATACAAAAAACTACCTTACAATGGCTGACAATGCAGAGGTAGTATTCGTTTGTACAGAACGAGTCCTGGCGCCGTGTCTTTCTCACGACAATGGAATACAAGGACATGTGACGTTTGAGTGAAAATAATACAGTAAATCATTAACTTTGTACAAATACACAACGCTGACAATGGCGTTTAGAACTCACATTAACTTTCAAGTGGTGTTCCTCTTCGTGGTCTCCATTTTTACCTCGACCATACATTTAGCATTTTCAAAGTACGCTACAGATATGACTTTGCAACCGCAGCAACTCCCTCTCTCGAGCTCAAAAGTGTCCTAACTTTGTTCCTGTGCTGCCACGGCGCCAATTTGTAAAAGTATTTTCAAGTTGCCTTCAAATTATAGCCTACTTTACTATAGAGCTACATTTTCTCAGTCCTACCTAGCCTATAAGTCAAATTAAATTCTTGAATTTCTGAAACTGAAACTGAAACTAACCCTGCCCTTATGCTATTACTGTAAAGTCTGATTTCTAAAGCGGTTCACCAAAATTGCAGTTCACCAAAATTACGGACATGTTATACCTGTAGGCAGAGGTGGAAAAGTACACAATTGTAATACTTGAGTAAAAGTAAAGATACCTTAATAGAAAGTGACTCAAGTAAAAGTGAAAGTCACCCAGTAAAATACAACTTGAGTAAAAGTCTAAAAGTATTTGATTTTAAATATACTTTATTATCAAATGTAAATGTAATCGCTCAAATGTACTTAAGTATTAAAAGTTAAAGTAAAAGTATAAATATTTTCAAATTCCTTATACTAAGCAAACCAGACGCCACCATTTTCTTATTTTTGAAATTTACGGATAGCCAGGGGCACACTCCAACATCTAGACATAATTTACAAACGAAGCATGTGTGTTTAATGAATCCGCCAGATCAGAGGCAGTAGGGATGACCAGGGATGTTCTGTTGATAAGTGCGTGAAATTGACAATTTTCCTGTGCTGCTAAGCATTCAAAATGTAACGAGTACTTTTGGGTGTCAGGCAAAAATGTATGGAGTAAAAAGTACAATATTTTCTTTAGGAATGTAGTGAAGTAAAAGTAAAAGTAGTCAAAAAATATAAATAGTAAAGTAAAGTACAGATACCCCCCAAAAAACTACTTAAGTAGTACTTTACACAAGGGCAGATACTTTTACATTTTTTACATGTTTTAGTCATTTAGCAGATGCTCTTATCTCACGTAACATCTGCTAAATGACTAAAATGTAAAACAAATGTAAAAGTATCTGCCCTTGTGAAATGTGGGCTTTAGTTCACTTTTATTGATATACTCTATGGTACCGAACAGTTTTTCCCACTAGATGTCACCCTTTACATTGTCTCATGCTGGGTTGATGCACTCGTAGGGCTACCTCGCAAGGAAACATCAAGCCAAAACTACAGTTTTTGTGTGTGTTTTGAGTATGTGAATAGGCGGCATGTGTGTTTCACGTTTGGGGGAAGCTATATTTTTGTATCTTTTTATGATAAAACATAAAATAGCCTACTATTCCTAAAGTGATGAGTAGATTGGATAGTCATAAGTTAGGCTAATAATATAACTCACTGTTCACAAAAATACCTTTCTGCTTTTCTTCTCTTTTCTTCGCTCACATCCAGAGCTCCGCCCCAGCTAGAGGGACATTCTTTAGCAGGATCCGAGAAAAATATAGAGTTTTATAAACACATTTCATGCAATTCTACGACACTTCACTTGCCATGACTGGAGACATTATCATAATCTTTAATACCACAAAATGACAGGGTAGGCTGATCTGCTGACAATGACAAACTGAGATCAATAAAAACGACCTTGTCTTGAATGCAACCATCTAATTGAGGCCTATGAAAAGGGGAGACATTGTAGGCTATGACGTCCATCTAGCCTGGATGAGGAAATTATTGTCCCAAAAAAACTTGCCATGGACTCACCCAATGATAAAGACACTGAATATGCGCACTCACCGGGGATATGTCAACAATCAGCTCTGATATTTGCTGCAACGTTCCTAAATTGCACGCTTTACGCTTTCCGGCTGAATGTGCTTGTAATTTAAAACAATCCACAGCTATTTTTTCAAATAAGCAAATCATCCTCTGTGGCTAAATCATGCTCTCTGGTGTAGTGTTTTAAAGGATTTTATTTATTTGTGTATAGACAGGAGTATTTCATTTTGGCAAGTTCCATTCAATTTACTTTAAGGGAAGCTTAGCTTATTGGACACACCGCCTATGAGTATGTGTAAGGCTAAGGGGGTAGCATTAAGGCTGGCTTGAGTTTTAAAAAAATATTGTATTGCATGTGTGTAATTTGTTACTTCAAAGGTTAGGTTAGGTTAGGCAAGTGTGTGGATGTAGCCAGTTTGTCTGTGATTTTCAGGTTAATAAATTTGTTTGGTAGGTACCAGGGTGGTAGCACTTTAGTTTAGAGTGCTAAAAACAACAGGGTAACATCCGGAAAGTAATAGGAAACAACAGGGAAATAAGACGGCAACGACCAGGTAAGAACGCAGTAATATCCCGTTAATAGTTAGTATTTAGCGCTAAATACTGATATAAAGTTATATACATTTCCGGGGTTGCTATGTAGAAACAATTATTTCTTACTAAATAACTATTTATGCCCTCACTTCCCTGTGTTCCCTTGCTCTGTTTTCTCTGCTAGTTCTCGATGCCAAACAGTACTAATCAGTGTCTGATCGTGAGACGTATGTACAGGTACTTGAGAAGTGTTCTCCCTGTTTCATTGTTGTTTTCAGTCATAGTTAGTATTTCGTATGTTTACTGTCAACCTGTTATTGGAGACCAATTTGCTCCTCCTTTATTTTTTTGTGACAAGTCCGTTATTTTGCATCCTGGTTTTGGGACCACCAGTAAAGATCCTTGTTTCACCATGTCTGCCTACTGCCTACTGTCTATCCTGCACTGCACCTGGGTCACACCTCACCCCAACCTTTACATTTCAGCACTGTACTTAAGTAACTATTATGTAACTTACTGGTCATTTCTTTACAGTTTCACCATAGTTTCAGTATACAGTGCATTTAAAAAGTATTCAGACTCCTTTCCTTTCCACATTTTGTTATTACAGCCTTATTCTAAAATTGATAAAATTATTTTTTTCCCTCATCAATCTACACACAATACCCCATAATACCCATATATATATAAAAAAATCTGAACTACCTTATTTACATAAGTATTCAGACCCTTTGCTATGAGACTCGAAATTGAGCTCAGGTACATCCTGTTTCCATTGATCATCCTTGAGATGTCTTTACAACAGAAGGACAACCATCTCTGCAGCACTCCACCAATCAGGCCTTTATGGTAGAGTGACCAGACGGAAGCCACTCCTCAGTAAAAGTGGGGATGTTTTTCACTGGCAGGGAGTGGGAGACTAGTCAGGATCGAGGGAAAGATGAACAGAGCAAAGTACATAGAGATCCTTGATGAAAATCTGCTCCAGAGCGCTCAGACCTCAGACTGGGGTGAAGGTTCACCTTCAAACACGACACAGCTAAGACAATGCAGGAGTGGCTTCGGGACAAGACTTTGAATGTCCTTGACTGGCCCAGCCAGAGTCCGGACTTGAACCCGATCGAACATCTCTGGAGAGACCTGAAAATAGCTGTGCAGCAACGCTCCCCATCCATCCTGAGAGAATCTGCAGAGAAGAATGGGAGAAACTCCCCAAATACAGGTGTGCAAAGCTTGTAGCATCATACCCAAGAAGACTCAAGGCTGTAATCACTGCCAAAGGTGCTTCAACAAAGTACTGGGTAAAGGGTCTGAGTGTTCATGTAAATGTGATATTTACAGTGGGGAAAACAAGTATTTAGTCAGCCACCAATTGTGCAAGTTCTCCCACTTAAAAATATGAGAGAGGCCTGTAATTTTCATCATAGGTACACGTCAACTATGACAGACAAATTGAGAGAAAAAAATCCAGAAAATCACATTGTAGGATTTTTAATGAATTTATTTGCAAATTATGGTGGAAAATAAGTATTTGGTCACCTACAAACAAGCAAGATTTATGGCTCTCACAGACCTGTAACTTATTCTTTAAGAGGCTCCTCTGTCCTCCACTCGTTACCTGTATTAATGGCACCTGTTTGAACTTGTTATCAGTATAAAAGACACCTGTCCACAACCTCAAACAGTCACACTCCAAACTCCACTATGGCCAAGACCAAAGAGCTGTCAAAGGACACCAGAAACAAAATTGTAGACCTGCCCCAGGCTGGGAAGACTGAATCTGCAATAGGTAAGCAGCTTGGTTTGAAGAAATCAACTGTGGGAGCAATTATTAGGAAATGGAAGACATACAAGACCACTGATAATCTCCCTCGATCTGGGGCTCCACGCAAGATCTCACCCTGTGGGGTCAAAATGATCACAAGAACGGTGAGCAAAAATCCCAGAAAAACACGGGGGGACCTAGTGAATGACCTGCAGAGAGCTGGGACCAAAGAAACAAAGCCTACCATCAGTAACACACTACGCCGCCAGGGACTCAAATCCTGCAGTGCAGACGTGTCCCCCTGCTTAAGCCAGTACATGCCCAGGCCCGTCTGAAGTTTGCTAGAGTGCATTTGGATGATCCAGAAGAGGATTGGGAGAATGTCATATGGTCAGATGAAACCAAAATATAACTTTTTGGTAAAAACTCAACTCGTCATTTTTGGAGGACAAAGAATGCTGAGTTGCATCCAAAGAACACCATACCTACTGTGAAGCATGGGGGTGGAAACATCATGTTTTGGGGCTGTTTTTCTGCAAAGGGACCAGGACGACTGATCCGTGTAAAGGAAAGAATGAATGGGGCCATGTATCGTGAGATTTTGAGTGAAAACCTCCTTCCATCAGCAAGGGCATTGAAGATGAAACGTGGCTGGGTCTTTCAGCATGACAATGATCCCAAACACACTGCCCGGGCAACAAAGGAGTGGCTTCGTAAGAAGCATTTCAAGGTCCTGGAGTGGCCTAGCCAGTCTCCAGATCTCAACCCCATAGAAAATCTTAGGAGGGAGTTGAAAGTCCGTGTTGCCCAGCGACAGCCCCAAAACATCACTGCTCTAGAGTAGATCTGCATGGAGGAATGGGCCAAAATACCAGCAACAGTGTGTGAAAACCTTGTGAAGACTTACAGAAAACGTTTGACCGGTGTCATTGCCAACAAAGGGTATATAACAAAGTATTGAGAAACTTTTGTTATTGACCAAATACTTATTTTCCACCATAATTTGCAAATAAATTCATTAAAAATCCTACAATGTGATTTTCTGGATTTTTTTCTCATTTTGTCTGTCATAGTTGACGTGTACCTATGATACAGGCCTCTCTCATCTTTTTAAGTGGGAGAACTTGCACAATTGGTGGCTGACTAAATATTTTTTTCCCCCACTGTATTTGTTATTTTTTGCAAACATTTCTATAAACCTGTTTTTGC